ATCGACTCAAGAGAGTTCTTGAAACTAGGTCCAGTCATACGCGAGATCCCACAATCCCAAGCGCGCGAGAAAATACAAGATGGTTGCGAAACACGTGTCCGGCTATCGACAGCGGAATAAAAAAGATATTGTATTTCGAGAAACGATGACATCTGTCTATTATTATAATAATACCTAATGATAAAATAAATGCTTTAGAAAAGTTTTTCTTGAGAAAAGCCAATTTTTATGTTTATAAAATATTTTGAATGAAAAGTATTAAAATACTGTATGTACAAAATAAACCATTTTGAACACTTTTTTTTAATATTTATCAAAAAAATATAGTTCTGCCATAAACAATGTTAAATTTTAACTGACTTAATTTTGCGAACGCATCTTTATTTATATGGTTCTTAAAGTCAGTTTTTGCGCTAATGTTGCTAATGAACCATTTGAGCGAAAAAAAAATTGTTAAGGAAAAATTTTCTGTTAGCGAACCCTTTGTTAAATATTTCGAATATCACCACTGGCACGTGTGTTAATGAAACCTTTGAGTATCCGTTCAAGGATTATTGTAGGTGAGCAGCATTTATCAACTACTGGCCTTATGCTTCTTTCTGGTTTATGTGTCTTGGCAAACCCAAATAGTCTTGGGACTGATGGGGAGGGAACTACTATCTTCTTCATTCTGAGTTCTTTTGCTAGGGTTGTATTAGAAAAACGTTTGACTCTTGCTTGTAACTGCTCTAGAGTTCTTGGGTGTGCAGTCCTGCATTGCATTTCCTTTATGTATCTTACTAAAAGCTCATTATATGTAGCTCTTTTCATTAATATCATGTCCTTTGACTTGTCTGCTCTTGTAAGCACTATATCATTTTTGTTCATCCATTTTCTGCTTTCTCTTATATATTTCCATATTGGGCTGCAAGTTGCTCTTGCATATTCATTCTTTATTTTGAATGCTGTTTTCCATATGAATGTCTCTTAAGTTTGCTTAGTCCTTCCATTGCTTGTTCTACATCAGGGATGATCTTTTCATAAGTGAGTTTAGGCCAGGCATGGCCAACATACGGCTCGCGATCAATTTTATGTGGCCAACATTTATGTGGCCCGTGATCAATCTTTCAATAACAGCTACTGAAGTCTGAATTGCTCAATGAAAAGTTTTGACGACTAAAAAAATAAAACAAACAACTTACTGTGCATTTAGAGTTAACCCTCCATTACAAATCTTGTTGTCAGTACAGTGCAGAATGTTGATAAAGCATGATAATGTGAAAAATGTATCTGTAATCTCTATCTACAAGTTAGTCTCTATGGGGTGACACCACAATGAGATCTTGCACCACATCAAGATCTTCCTAGGGCAGCCTCTGGTTCGGTCCGTGTTTTATTTCCAATTTGGCCCGGGGGCAAAAACTGTTGGCCACCCCTGGTTTAAACTGTGGAATGTTATCCTAACATATTGTGGCCTGTGGTCTTATGCTGCTCTGTTGTTGCACTCTTATCCACTTCATTTTCTTCTTATAGTTTTTATGCATCCTTTCTATTACTTGATTCAATAAATTTACTACTCTGCTATTAACTTCTAGTAAATTTGGATCTATTTCATATAGCTCATTTTCTAATTCCAGTTTTTTCAGCAAATAATATTTTCTGCACCATGTAGTGCAAATAGCCTTTCTTAAGCATAATAATCTTAATCTTGGGAGAAGCAAAGTGCATCCATATGGCAGGCGTATTCTCCATATTGACATAGGGATTACATTGCAATTTTTGCATTACATTAAGAAGTTGAATTTAGCTTCATTCTTACAAATCTTCATAAGCAATTTTTGATAATTTTTGGCTGGCTTTTTGAAAGTTTGAGAAAAGTGTATAATGGCAACGCCGACCAAAAATTTTTGAAAATTGGTTATGAAGATTTGTAATAACAAAGCCAAATTGAACTTCTTAATGGAATGCAAAAATTGCAATGTAGTCCCTATGTCAATATGGAGAATATGCCTGCCATATGGATTTATTATTATTTTTTTTTTTTTATTTTCTAAAAACATTTTAATTGCAAAATCTTTGTGCAAGTTTTAAATTTCTGTGTTAACATTATTATTTCTTTTTTCTTTTATTGGTATCACAGATCCATTAATAACTTAAAAATTTACAATACTTTGATTAGAATAGGTTTAAATTATTTTGTCATAAACTATTATATATTTAACTAAATTGTATTGTAATTTTTTTTATATACTTTCACTTTGTATTTTGTTATTTTTGCATTTACTCATGAGGTTTTGTTTATTATTGTTAAAAGGGCAGCAATTTTTGTTCCATGACATCACCTGTAATTTACTGTAAAATAAATAAGTAGATATGTTCCAATTCACAAACTAGTACATTTGTCATTTTCATGATGATATATTTCAAAATATTAAAAATGTTTGAATCATTAAAAATACCATTTATTTAGTACTTCATTTAGTTAAAATTTGTGTTGTAAACCATGTCTATCTTATCTTTGATCATCATCATCTTCTTTGATGCATGTTTATCCATTTTACACATTTTATAATTATTAAATAATTATTTAACTATGATTATCTTACTAACAAACATTCACAATATTTGATATATATATATAAAATCAATTTACAGCTCGAGATTCAATAATAATACTTTTCAGAAACCTGACTTACAATTATGTAGTTTAAAGATTAATTTATATCTGCTGTAATTATGCTGTCTATATATTTTATATAGCTAGTAAATACATTTTATTCAAAAAATGCAATTAGAAAATAGATGTAGTTTCAGCTGCTATGTTAAAAGTGTCCATTTTTACTGCATTGCAAGTAAATTTAATGAGAATATGAACTTTGAGCACAGTAGCCAGTTAAGAGACAAACATGTCTAATAAGATCTACTAAAAACTTTGGAAATAACACAGTCAGAACTTTATAACAACAGTATAATAAATGCATAAGCAAGGCAAAGGTATGTTAAAAAGACTAATGGAAGAGACTTTAAATATAAATTATGCACATGCTCTAAATGTCTGTTTTGTAACTTGGTATATGAAATATTTTTTCACTTTTTATATTCATGTAATATTCTGAAAAAGTAAGAGCAGATTTGGACACACGTGTAGACAAAAAAGAGTCTACATATGTGTCCAAATCCGCTCTTACTTTTTCAGAATATTACATAAAAAAAGAGCTGAAAGCTTTATTTTTTGTTTAGTAAATAAATTTAATAGTTAAGTTTATTATAAAAATTTAACATTTAATTCAAGACAATTTAATTATTTATCTATTTAAACATTTAACTTTGTTAAATTGTATAGTTTCTATACAATTTTACAATTCTTTCTATCCTTCCCTTTCAAGGTTTTATATAACATTTTATGGAATAAATATTGTAACAGTATTAATGATTATAATCATCATAACATTATTAAAAAATACAAATGTACCATACCTTAATATTATGTGTTAATATATTTGTGTAAATTATTATAAACTGGAAAACTTATGAGATCAGACTGTTAGATCAGATCAATCAAATAAAGCTAGGAAACATTAGAATGATCTGCCAAGGAAAGATTTTTATTGTGTTATACTATTTGTGATAGAAACAAAGAAAATTTGAGCAGCCAGCCCAATGATCAGGCCAAACATGCAAATAACTACCAGTATTAATCAGTTTTATCCACTTTTCCACTGGTGTGTCAAGACTGTTGGGGAAGGTATCAGACAATACAGTAGAGCCTTGTAAACTCAGCCTAATGTGGACCAAAGGGTGGCCGAGTTTGTGAAAATGCCGGGTTATCGGGAATGGGGTTAAAAAAGGATAAGTACGAGTGTTTCCTCAGAAAATACTGTACTGTACTTGTATGTATTGTTTACTTGAGAATATAACAGAGAATAAACTGCCCAAATACCCTTAAACAAAGGAAAAGTACGTCCTTTATGAAGGCATAGAGCCTTTACTACATGAAAATGAAAATTTATGAATACACAGTGTACAGTAATTTACCTGATAAGACAGGCCCCAGAAAAATACTTTATGAGGCATAAAGCTGTCTATAACGAAAATTAATTAACTAAGGATTTTTTTGCCGTGCCAGAGTGTGGCCAAGTTATCCGGAGTTCCAGGTTATCGAGTGCCGAGTTTGAGGCTCTACTGTACTTGAAAATCTAAATAATAATACTCGGAACAGCACATATTTTGCATAAATACCCGTAGATATACTGGATGTTTGAGAGAGACAAATCAGGCCATTAATAGCTGTGAAATATTCGTTATACAATAATAACTTGTTCACTTATTTTCTCTGTTCTAAACCAAGTTGAAATAATAATATGCAGAATTATACTTGTAATCTTATGAAAAGACTTTTCAGGATCTAATTATTCTTAAATTTATACATTTTTAATACAGAAAGATTTCCTCGTGGTTATAAAATACGATTTATTTGTAGTAAAGTAACAAAATTAACTGAAATTCATATTTATTTAACAAACAAGGAAATATAATTTAAATATTTCTCTTTTCTCGTAGAAATGAGAAGTTAATTTGTATTCATTTATTACCAATGCCCTAAAAATAATAATTACCTTCTTTTTTGAGCCCATTAACTGGAAAACGTAACATTTGCACGACTAAACTTGACCTTCGTCTTTTAATTTTTCGCACCAAAATATGTCACGTTTGCCTTCTGGTGTCGTTAATCTGCAATAATATTTTATTTGTTTTTAAATAAAAAATTATAATGATAAAACAGTAAAAGTTTACAAATAAATACAGAAATAAAATAATATAAAAAATCGAAACTTGCCAACAAGTTGAAAAAAATGATTTTTTTTTTATTATTTTCTGAAAACTTTTTGTAAATTCTGATTGTGGGCCTTTTTGTAGCAAGCCCATTATGGTTCGGCCAGGCCTACAAAAAAAGTGGTCGGATGGAACCTGATTATACAGACCAAAGTTACATAAAACAGTCGACCATCTTCCGAAAAATCCTTGGTGTTTTTTACCTCTTTCGAATTCGATCCCGGATTCCTCAGAGTAATACGCTGCCACCTTAATCGCTCGGTCACTCGACCGTTCGTAAATTTCGACTATAGAAAATAGAAATAAAGTGAACACGGATTGATCAAATTTGATTAACATTAAGTTTTCCTTATTATAAATGTTATTAAAAAGGGAGAAAATAGATCTAGAAAAATGTTATCGAGTCGAATTATTTCGATTTCAAATAATCAAAACGGCAAAGATGTTTAGGAGATCCGCACCGTCGAATTCTTACAAATTTTCAAGGCGTGGTTTGAAAATTGGTAAGGATTTATGATAGGTTTTTATACTGTAAGGTCTCGTTTTATGCGGTGGATACGTTCTACAGAAAAGCGCATATAAAAAATTCGCATAAAAAAAGACTTTACTTGCCTTGAAAAAGTAGGAATACGTTCCGTAATTTTATAAAATCGCATAAAACCAAAACAACGAGTTAAAATTAACATAAAACCGCATAAAAAANTATTGTAATTGATGTCATCTTCCATTCTTAATACTTTCTTATATAAATATTTAATAAAAATTGTAACAGACAGAAAAACAAAATAACACGTGAATCAGCCCCATAATTTGGGAATGACTAGAGGTAGGAGGATTTTGGACTAATTATGGCAAAACATGATTCAAGGGAACTACAAAGGTTGGTGAGTGTGTGTATCAGCGACTTCCAGTTATGGGGTAGGGTCCGAGGGAGGTTTCTTATCAAAGTCCAATATGGTATGAAGGGTCAAGAATGATGCCATCAAAAAGTATTGATACATGAAAATCCAAACAATGTTTATTCTGGCAGTAATTTTTGTTAAGTTGCAGTTTTACTCAACAAAAACACAAGATGATAACAGATTTTGGAACATAAAGTCTTCAAGCAGAACAGGAATACAGATAAAGGATACACTTTTCTCAAACTGCACTTTCAAAAATAACTACACTTTACCAACCTTTAACATGCAGTCTATTTTATTAATGTAATCTAATGTTTTCAGTCAATTAATTGACCTTCATCAGGATCAAACAATTTTTCGATTTATGACGAACAAAACTGCTTATAGAACATTTTTAACTTTAAAAAAGTTTTCTCAACGCCTATTGTGCAAGTCCAAAAATAGATAAAAGTAGAATCTACAGATTGAAAATGTACCAAAATGTGCATACACTAATTATACACAAAAATAAAAGTAAAAATAAAAATGAATAATAATAAAGAAATAGGTAAATGAATAGATATATAAACAAGTGATGATATAACAGGCACAGACTAATGCCTATCTTTTATCTGTCCGTGCTTTTTTCTTTTGCTGGTATGTTCATAATGCACCCGCTCTTCATGCTGCAGAGACACTATGATTCTCTGAAGTTTATAGCCTGTCCTGCTAGACTGCTCTTGTGAATATGCCAGGCTTCTGCATATTTAATGTCTTCTGTCCTGAATCTTATATATTATTTCTGCTCTTTTCAATTTCACTGAAACCTCTTGGGTCAGCTATAACATACATCACTAAAGCAGTGACTGGTTACTCATTCTGTATGTTCCTTTTGTGCTCTTTTATTCTTTCTTTTAATGACCTGCTTGTAGCTCCAATGAAGGACAGTTCTTTTTGCTGCCTCTCATCTTGTACAGGTATTCTGTAAATTCCAGGAATAAGACTCTGGTCTGTGTGTTTCTTGTCCGTACATAGTATCTGGTATACTGTTGGATTCCTTTTAAATATTATCTTTTTGATAATAGCTGCTCCCATTTCTTTGTAAATGTTGTTTAAGGGTGCCATGTATTCCATTACTGTGTATTCTTCTACTCTTCCCCTTTCATTACCTTCATTATCGTCTTTTTTTGTTTTATTTATTAAGGCCTTTATTTTATTCTGATTGACTCCGACATGCCATGCTAGCTCTTTGATGTGTTCTAATTCTTTGTCTGTCCTGCACTTTGCTGCAATGTGTGTATGCTCTTGTGACCATAGGGTCGGTATCTCTTCGATACCTCGTCAGGATGACACCACTGTATCTTTCGGTCGATACAGAGACCACAAGTTCGCGCGAGCGGATAGGTATGAGGGTTGGACCCGGAATGGAGAACTGAGAGACAAACGGAAGAAACTGCACTCCAGAAGGTTTAAACATAAAAACCCGTTTATTTATATATATCTAAATTAAGTTTACATCAACGAATAAAATACGATACATAAACTACATGAGTTATTATTCAATTTTTTAGTCCAGATTAACGATCGGGTGCGCGTTTCTTTTACGCGGAGAGAGAGAACGTACAATAGTGCGCGGGCAGGATAAATACCTTAGGTTGTAGGCAAAATCAGCACAAAAGGTCCAACAGTTCTTTTTAGGTGAACAGTTCTTTCCAGGTGAGTAGAAAGATTTCAGTTAAGTTCAGGTCTTCCAGTCTTGTCCAAGAGGAGGAGGTTCGGATTCTCGGCGGGAGG